CATACATACACACATCCATACATACAGACATGCAGACTTGCAATACAAACATGCAGACATACCGGCATACATGCATGCATGCTTGAATGCATACATACATACATACATTCATACATACATACATACATACATACATACACACATACACACATACGCACATACCCACATACCCATATGCACACATGCATACATACATACATACATACATACATACATGCATAGATACATACATACATACATACATACATACATACATACATGCATACATACATACATACGGACATACGGACAGACAGACAGACAGACAGACAGACAGACAGACAGACAGACAGACAGACAGACAGACAGACAGACAGACAGACAGACAGACAGACAGACAGACATAGGAACATACATACACAACATTACATAACATAACATTACTTTACATTAGATTAATTACATTACAATACATTCTGTTACCATACATACATACATACAGACGTACATACATACATGTGTATATATATATATACATGCACAGTTTCACGGCCTAACCCGTAAGCCCAAAGCCTTTCCGTCCCAGGCCTTGGCGTCTCGCCATCTCGATGCTGTCGCTTCCTCCGCCAAAGGTTCGACTCAGGGTCCAGGGTTTGGGGTTTCGAATTTGGGGTTTAGGGTTCAGGGTTTATGGCTTAGGCCCTAAACCCTCCTAAACCCTAAACCCTGAACCCTAAACCCTGAACCAAAAACCCTAAACCCTAAACCCTAAACCAAAGCCTAGGGCCTAGACCCTGAACCCTAAACCCTAAACCCTGAACCCTAAACCCTGAACCCAAACCAAAGCCTAAACCCTGAACCCTAAACCCCAAACCCTGAACCCTAAACCCTAAACCCTGAACCCTAAACCCTAAACCACTCATCGAGTTGAGGGCTTGGCGTGTAGGGCATCAGGAAGGAGTTCTAAGGTTTTGGACTCGGTGCTTCGGGTTCCCGTAAGACAGCTACAAGGGTTCCGATAAAGGATCTATAGGCGTACTACGGGGTTTAGCTCGCCGGAAAACAAAGCGAACAAGCAGCTTTCTGCCCTGGCAAAATGCATCCCTAAAGCTTATGGGGTGTAGGGTTTAGGGTATTACAGCAGGTATAAAGTTTAGGGTTCAGGGGTTATACCTACACCCCAAGCGCCCAAACCTTAAAACCCAAACCCCAAGCAAAAACACCTCCTTTGGTACGTCTTGGACGCCAAGGGCCCGGCTGAGGCCACAGCAAAGACGGCCTAGGTCCAGGTCCTGGTGTATATGGGTAGTTCTCTAAATTGGGACCCCTAAATTGGGACCTCTTTCAGGGTCCTGTTTATAAGGGTGCCATACTATGTTTGGGATCCAAAACGGGACCTGTATAGGGGCTGATAGGATTTTTGTAGGGACTTGCAACAGGGTTGTTGGGAAGGGTACTGTCGAGTTCTCCGGGCACTCGGGAGCCCGCAAAACCCCAAGGCACGAAACCTCAATTCAGAGACTCGCAAGGCAACTTGTAGGGTTTAGGGGTTTAGGGGGTTTAGGGGGTTTAGGGTTTCCCACTTAACATCACCCCGTAACCCCTTAAGCTCCCAGCCCGACACCCTACAAACCCCAGAAAACCTGGAGAGGCCCCAAAAGACCCCAAAGAAGCCCGAAGCACCAAAGACCCTAAGCTTGAAAGACCGTACAACCGCTTGAATCCCAAACCCTAAAGTCCCAACGCCCTACTAAACCCTGAGCTCACGAGCCCACTAAACTGTAAAGACCTTACCCCCTCAGCCCCTAAACCCTAAAGCCCGACTAAACAGCCCTACAATAAACCCGAGTCCATCCGCGTCCTCCTCACGCTCGTATGCCCGGCACTCCACGCAGGCTTTGAAGAAAGCTAAGGCCTCAGCTAAGGACTTCGGGATGTCCGGTTTAGGCGTCTGTTTCTCGGCGGTGTTGGAGTTTAAGGTTTCCCTAAACCCTAA